TATTATTCGTTTTAACCTTCAATTTATTTTAGGTTACCTTTTCGGTGGCAAGATGAACCTCGGGCTAAGATAAATAGGTTGGTTTGAAATGACTAAACAAAACGCTAGTTTCAAATTTTATTTTAACAAGTGTGCAGCCAAACAGGCTCTGATTCCTGTCTATTATTTCATAGTCATTCATGTGCTCACTTTATTGAAGCGGTATAACTTATCTCTGTCTCGCTATCGACACGAGTATGAGAAACAACATTCTCATGAAATCAAAAACATAGTTTGGTGGTGTGATACGGAAAATGTGTGCCAACGGAATATTATTCTCACATATTCCCACAGTTCAATTCGGCATTAGCAACAGAATATGATATACCTATTTGAACATTTTATTTCATGTCTTTTGATGTGAACCGAAATCACACGCTCAGTAATTGGTTAAAGAATATAAAGTGTACATATATAAACAGCCGTTTGAACAATGGCTTCCGTGTCTTGCCTTCTGTTGTTACATTAGGTGTCACTGTTCACCGACAAATGAAAATCCCATGGCCTTCAATTTTTAAAGGAGACATATGGATCTTCTTGAAGGACTTCGATGCTGTTGTGGAGTTGAATGGCGTTCAAGAGCCGTCAGCGAAGACGCTTTTATTTGAAACGCTGTCGAGAGGTCGAGCGAAGGCAGCATATGATAGTGTGAGGCAAAAAGAAGAGCAACCAACTTGAAAGTCAGTAGTTGAACTCTTGAAGGAGGAGTTTGACAGCCCTGTGGATAGAGAGCGGGTGATGCGGCAGTTTCGTACTACGAAGCTGGGAGTTGACGGTGATCCTCTTGTGTTGGCGCTGACCCAGACAAACCTACTGCGTCGCGCGCTGCCAGCACTGGACGAAGATTCTGAGGCACAGATGTTGGCGACTCAGTTTATTGAGAGAACGCAAATCTCAATAGCTACAGCTAATTCACGCCGTACAGCCACTGGCCATAGGGGAGCTTTCAAAGGTGACCGGGCAACTATTAAGCAAGACGACTGCCACGATAGAGCCAACAAAAGCCAAGCAGTGTGACCAAGAAATTGAAGAGTTGCAGTGTGAAGTGGTCATGCTGAGAATTAGCGAGAGGAGAGACCGGTGTTTTGCATGCGGTAAACTGGGACAAAAATCTAAAAAAGCATACTGTGTCTTCTGTCTGTTCGCCGAGGCTAGAGGTAATTGGGGCGATTGAGAAGAGGGCAATGTATTCGGAGTTGCGCGTAAATGACCACGAGTACGTGTGTTTAACTGACACAGGGGCAGCAATCTCATTCGTAGATAAGAGCTTATGGGAGAGCATAAGGCCGTGTTCGTTGATAGTGCAGACAGTGGGTAGCCAAGTGTTAAGAATCGCAGGAGTGTCAGACTGCAGAGTTAGTATTGGAGAGGATAACGTGACGTTTCCATTCCTGGTTGTACCTGAGTTGCGAGAAGTAGATGCAGTGATTAACGTGAAGAAAAGGGTTGTCGTTACGAAGAATGGGTGTTTCAGCATGCAAGAGAATGATGAGATAGCAGGCTTTGCAGCTTCGGAAGTCCGAAAAGCAGCAACGTTGCTTAGCAAATATAACCATCTTTTCACTGAAGATGAAGATCCGTACGGTTACTTCGATGAAATGAGGCGAGTTGGAAAGTGAGACCACTCATATTTCGAAGAGTTCCCTGTCATTTAGAAAGCTACGTTGCAAGATAGGTTGAAGAGATATTGAAGGATAACATTATTGAAGAAGCCGACAGCCCATATAGCTCTTCAGTGCTATTAGTAAAATAAACAACGGGAAATACAGATTTTGGGTTGATTTCCAACAACTGAATGTCATAACAGAGCTGAGACAGTGTGCGATGCTAACCATAGCAGAAATTTTAGATCGCTTACAAAATGCGAAGCTGTTCACAGTCTTAGATCTGCGATCAGGGTACTGGCAACTGCCAACAAAATAGGGAGATAGAGATACGACGGAGTACTATGTGGAACAGAAACAATATCGGTTTAAACGCATACATTTTGGATTGGCAGATACTCCGTTTATATTTAGACGATTTTTGACGCCGAAGTTTATGGAGGTGATCTAGTGATACACTGTACGAGCGAGAGTGACTACGCAGAGCACGTGGAGGCAGTTCTAAGACGCATCGAAGAATTCGGTCTACGCATCAGCAAAGATAAATCTCAGATTGCCAAGATGAACGTTTCGCTTTTAGGACATAAGGTGAGAAACGGCGAGGTAACACCATTACCTGAAAAAATTTTAACAGTCAAGTCCACTGATGCCCTGAATTCGAAGAGGAAATCAAGACAGATTTTGAGGAGAGCAGCGTTCTATAGTCGGTTCGTGAAAAGCCTCTTTAAGTTAGAGGCTCCGCTCTACCGGCTATTAGGCGATTCAAAGTTTGTCTGGTTGGAAAACTCGCAGAGGGTATTCGACCGCATCAAACAGCTAGTGGATCAGCAGAGAATGACGCTGCGACTACCGGTGCTGGGAATTGAATTCACTTACCGAATCTCTAGATTACACAATCATAAGGGTAGTTGTGGCATTACTTTTTTTAAATCATAATACGTACGCACGAACTAGTATCCTTTTAGCCATAGTGATGCCAGATATCTGTATTGATTGATTTTCTTAATTTTAATCTTAAAAGGTGGAAAGGAATTACCTAAAACACATATTTATTTATAATTTCCTTTCCAATCACTAAATCTTCTCGCAAATAGTTCAGTCTAGGTTTCCATCGCGAAGTTAATTAATTCAGAAAGCCTCTTGCAATTACGTCGTACTGGAGAGCAGTTTTTTAAAATTTGTTTTAAGGAGTAATACCTGAATCCGTGAAATAGTGGTGACATGCTTGTCATATAACCTGATGATCTTGTGCTTGTTTCGAGGTGGACTAGTAGCTATGTGTTGCTACATGGCTCCAGACAAAGACAAAAGAGCTAGCCATTTATTCTTTGTTCTCAGTGGTCTTAAAATTGATTTCAGTTAGTGACAAAATTACTTTGATAAAACCTGTTAGTTAGCAACATACTTTTTGTATGTTACCAGTCCTGTTGTTCACTAGTATAGAGTAATCGGAAAAAGAGACCGCTTATTAAATCAAACTTCACATTTGGACTGAAAACTTTTGAAAAACAGAAGTCCACTCAAGTAGCATAAAACTAACACAACCTTCAGAAATCAGATATATGCCTGACTCCTTTATAAAGACCAGTGTCTATAGTGTCAGAAACAACTTTCTTAAGGTGAATAGTCTTAACATTTTAGCAATGAGATGAAAGAAACTTAAATGATATTTCGATTTTTAAGACCTATTTCAGTCATTTGCGGGAGCAGAGACAAGTACATTAAAACTGATTAATGTATGGAGAATATTATTCTTATCTAACTGCATATTTAATCCCATTCCCTTGAAAAATCTATTTCCATCCACCTAATCATTAGCTTCCATCACCCTTCATTGTTGTGTAGTCAGAATGCAGACTTGCATATCGTATTCGATGATTAATGCACTAGCAGTTTATTCACTAAACAAATTATTAAAAAGCACTTTAAAATGTGTGGTCACATTTACCTTTACTTTTTCATTTAATTCTTCATAGATAGTTAACTAGAATAGAGACATTTTACAGACTTTATATTGATCAGTGAAGAGTTCTGAGGTCGAGAAGTATTTGATTAACAGTATTTTATTATAAACTGAACTATCATGCAAACCAACACAATCCTGATATGTAAAGTATGGAAAAAACAGATAAAGCAGTGCATGGCTGGGGAAGTACATAGACAGATAATTATGTTGAAGTGTCTGACTCTATATGACATTAAAATAAATCAACGTGCTTAAACTTTTTTAGGCCAACTCAAATTAATAATAGTAAAGAAAAACGTGTTATCCAATTAGTGAATAAACACTTCAGCTGATAATATTGTTTGTCAAGTATTGTGTAGTATTTTTCTAGTAGAAAGCCTGATGTGGTCCAAAGTCGACAGCCAGTCACGACGAAACGAATCAGTTAGAATTTTTATTTGCTTTGCTAGATACATTAATGAGAAAAAAAAGTTTCATGTCATAACAGTTTTCAACTAGTTAGTTATTTGTTGAGGAGAAATATTATTCAACGTATTCACTACTGTAATACATATATTAATGTAGCTCTACTAGATGTAAATGAATTCAAGATCGTTTTATTCGTTCATGAATAATTCGAATCGACTAATGACTGAAATTACACTTAATAAAAAGGTTATAAGCACATGATTTATCGTTATGATTTTCACACTGCATGGTGACTAGTACCACATTCAACCTACTACTACCATTACTACTTACTGTGTTATTTTCCACTAACACTTCATGAACTTGAACAGTTAGTGTCTATTCACAGCATACATATCTGCTTGTGTCCTCAATATTTAACCACACTGAGAGAAATTCGTAAGTACTTAATCACCAAGCCCAAGGAGCGCTTCAGGATTTTATAAGATTAGTCTATCACATGTCATCTATGATATTCACTTACGTCACCTGATAGTTTGACGAGAACGATAAAATAGTTCGCACTTTTGTATACACCACAGTATAACAATTATTCACATTAAGGCCTAATTCTGTAATTTCAGATAGCCACCCTTATTTTCAGTTTTGTGACTGATTCACGGGCAATTTTTGAATACGTTCAAAGATTAAAATATGATGTTCCCATTATATATGCTCATCTAGCATGTTCAAAGTAGAGAAGCAGAGATGTTTAATTCTGAAAGAATTGTGGATTAGCGACAAAGAGGAATGCAAAAATCAGGTCCTAAATATCACAAATATATGTATTAATAATATCACTGGAAACATTTATTTTGTTTGTTAGTCAGGTGAGCTTTTAAATTATCTCATCGATCAATAAACAAATAAACAGTTAGCCCATACCAAGATTGTATGAAAAGTGTACTGCGTTGAATCGCAGTAATCGCATGCTCTAGGAATGCATGCACTGGCTTAGGAAAAAACAGAATTTAGTTGTAAATGCTGGACGAGACCGTGAAATGGGTGGAGGGATTACGCAACCAGCTGCAAACAGCATTGGTCAGAGACCGAATAGTAATCCAGCAAATGTTAACAGTGGAAGTAATCATTTGATGCCAGCTGCAGTAATTAATAACCCCAATGGAGAAGCTGAAGTCACCAGTATTCCAGACGATTCGTCCAATAAACATTTTCAAATTAAACGGTGGAATGCGTGTGCATGTTGGTCATGGGATGTGATGCACGACACGTGTGTAATATGTCGTAATGCCCTAATGAGTTTATGTAAGTCAACAAAAATTCTGAGAATAATGTTGCATATATATATATATATTTCTAAGTGTTGGATTATGATAGACTTCAAAATGAAAGATGTGAATTGATTACAACACGATCCCTGCAACTAGAGTGCTGACATAGAGCTCTTCAACAATAAGAAGTAGTCACATTTGGTTTATCCTGCTGAAAGTGTAACAGAAAAGTCACCTTCTTACCCCCATGTTTACATCACACTTTGACTGGCAGAATTGTAGAAATTTGTTTGCTTTGTCTATAGACACGGTAAAATAGATTTTCACATCCATCATCAAAACCTTAAGTATTTTACCACACATTTTTTCCTGTTTTCATATCATTCCTGTTTTTTTTAGATTTCTGCGTTTCCACTTGGAAATGTGAAGTCAAACTTCCTAACTGTGGTTGTCTAAGGCCTTCATTTCATTTTTAATTCAATTTGGTGTACTTTTATTACATAATGGCACTTGATAAACTGCTTTGCTGAAATAATCAAAATGTTTTGCAATGAAAGTGTTTATTTAGGAAGGTGGAAATCTAATGCAATCGCGTATTATTGTCTTTAGTTCGCTTATAAAGTATTTGAGCATTTCATATGACCTGTTGAAAAGTAGGTACATTTAATAGCACTTTAGAAATAGAACAATAATAAATTCCGAAAGATACTCATGTAGTTTAACGAAAAAATATATATCACTGAATGAATTCAGTTGTATGAATTTAGGCAATTTAAAGAGTCCATGTATCAGTAGCCGTTCAATTGATTTTACCTGTACAATTTGTTATCTGCACACTGTCACTCAGGCTCGTGGTTCAAGTAACTATATTTCTCTAGATAACTCAATCTGACAGACGTACCTGTTCAATCTGATCTTTTATAGCAAATAATCTTTAGGCTTTTTTTTTCATAAAGTCAGTTAACAAATAACTATTTTGTGGAAGATTATAATGACTTCTATATCTACACATTATAGTGATGAGAGATAAGTGCTGAAGTAGAACATAAAACCTAATGACCAAAATTTTAAGATTCTAAACCACATTCAAAATGAATTTTCATCCTCAACCTGCTTATCTGAACACTGATTTAACTGATCACTTTTCAAGGTAGTTCTAAACAATACAGCCAGATACTTGGAAATTAATGTATTTCTTCTGGAAAGTTTACACATAAAAGCTTGAAATTTTTTCAGGGGTAAATTATACTTGCAAAATTTAGCTTCAGTCTATTTTATAGGATTTCAGTACAAGTAGTTTGTTTCTTGCATAGTCTGTGCATCGACAACTGAGGAAAGCACTGAAAAACTCATTTATGACACTACCTTGCATAATATTATCTCCAGAAATCTACCTGTGAAACTGTGTTAAACAGACATTTCCTACTCCAATAATTTCTTCTATCTCAACCGTGTAAGGCACTCACTGACAATGTCACGGATATGTTTGTTGTGGGATAAGTATAAGGATCAGAGTCCCAGTGTCTTGTATGTGTTTGTAACAATACCGGAATTTCGAGAATTTATATATATACATATACATATATATATTTATATTAGGCAGTAGTTAGTAGCTAGTGTCACGTATCTAGTCCTTTCTTCGGTGCAGACTGAATTCTGTCATTGAGGTTTGCAATGTAGCCACCATGCCAGGTGGCTTGCCATCACGGTGAACTCTGAATTGTTGTTATTAGATGGTCGGAGGCAACATACATGTATATATATATATATATATATATATTATCCCTCAGTGAGTTCTAGTAAGAAAATTGAATCCCTCCAATAAATATTACTGAATGTTATGAAGAAAATGGAGACCATAAATACAGGAAGGAATCAACACGAACACTATTTTTTTCAAGTTTCTACAATTCTTGTCGGTATATAAAGACAGACATCAACCCCAAGACACATAGAAAAGTTAACATTAAGATATCATAACTGACAAAAAGGTCTCAAGAAAAAGAGGGATTCACAAATATAATCATTAAAGGGCCTGGAATTACAATGCTAGAACACCAACAAAATGTAAGTAAAATGAAAACTATAAAAGCGAAGATAATAAAATTCTGTTAGTCAGAAAAAGAAGCCTTTAAACTGATAGACATATCTTCCGATACAGTAAAGATGGCGGTATGCTTTACAGTGTGTGGGAACAAATAAGAAATACGTACTCATCACTGTGATCCATTTTAAGTTATGTAATAAACGTAATTTACTCGTCGATTTCGGTTTCCTTTCACAAGAAAACACAAACTTTTCAAGTATGGTTGGGGCAGACAGTCCCTCTTGGCTACGTTAAAAATCAAAATTAGTTCAGCTCTACCTTTAATATGCAATCTGCTATTTCATCTGTATCGTAAGTGGAGTAAGTTAACATTTCAAGTGTAATAATCTGAAAATAGAATTACACAGACTGTATCTGTCAGCTTTTGCTATTTTATTACTTCTCAAGAATATGAGTTGATTGGAGATGTCACTTACATGAACGGTGAACTGTTTAATATTGAAATAACTCTCCATACTAAAGATTAGAATTAGTTTCGAAACCCACCATATGAATATCAATCTCCAACTGAGTGATTACTCCCACATAGGTGTCTTGAAGTTGTAATGAGAAGTCGTGACTGATGGGGTCCACAGCATCATCATAAAGTGAATGCTTATCGTAGGCACTAGCTAGAAGCTGCGGTATATCACAAATCGATAGAAGTTTTTTATTTTCATGGATCATTGAATTCCGACCCAAGTGACTGAATGATCAACGATTTTAAATTGGTAACCTGTAGGTCTCAATTTCTATGCATGGTAGGATGAGGATATGCACTTATGCACAGTCCCAAACTAAGATGCAACAGCTATTCAGTAATTCCTGATTTTCAATGATCTCTAAATTATTTTGCTTCATGGTATTTTGGATTTAGAAATTCATTCTGAAATTAATCCAAACCCATTATTACTTCCATGTGACTGATGTTCCTTACAAGCACAGTATTTTGAGCTTTGAATTCTAGCTTGTCACTGGCAGACATTTGAATGTTTGAATAATTGTAAAGGATTCATAATGAAGAGTTTTCTACTGTCTTGTATTGATTTATTTCGTGAGTATTATGAACCTAAGTTAATTATTATCACAACTCTTATGACAATGATGACACTATCTGAGGATAAGGACGAAGGGCTGAATTCACGTTCGAATGTGCAATCTCAGTCTTTCAGAAGATAGAAATTCATCTTAACCCAATAATCGTTAACTGTTACACTCTTATGGCAGTTTAAAAATGTCAATCACTATTTAGAAAACAACCAATTAAAAAATCAAGTTAATTAGTAAATTTCTTGACGTCCAACTAACAAGAAGAGAACAGGATGGAACACTGAGAAGGTCTATCCACAGAAAATCGACGTGGAACGGACAGCTTACTAACTTTCACAGTTGGGTACCACTATACACCAAACGAAACCTGATCCGTTCACTCAGGTACAGAGTTCGCAGAATTTGCACCCCGGACACCACAGATAATGAACTGGACAATCTCAAGAGAATCCTCGTCGAGAATTGCTATCCAGAAAGATTTATTGCAAGATCTGTGAATCCTAGACCAGAAAAGCCGCCCATGCTTAGCGTCCCGAAAAAACTACTATACATGAACCTTCAATTCAACGGAGATTCATCTGCGGAAACACTAAAAAATCGACTGTCGCGCTCACTTAAGAAGACCTTCTTCGCAGCTGAACTACGACTAACCTTCTCCACAAAACCTATGATTCATGTGAACGTGAAGGATAAGCTACCGCTACCGGCCTCATCAATGTGCATTTATCAATTCACCTGCTCGTGTGGAGCCAGGTATGTTGGCCGAACCCAGCGCTCGCTCTCCAAACGTATCACCGAGCACTTACCAACATGGTTTTACAAAGGAGAAAATTGATGCCCCCGCAGTTCCATCTTAGAACATCTGATAGAATCCGGACACCAAGCTACACCGCAAACAAACTTCAAAGTCGTCTACAGAGTAAGAAGTAGTCTCCTTAAAGGTGTACGAATCAGACTTCTTCAAACTGCAGAAGCAATGGCGATTCACTTGCTAAGTCCTGAACTCTGCATACAGAAGAAGTTCGTTCAATCACTACACTTACAATGGACGTAATCTATCTTATTAGCCGACAAATAAATTCTACCTAATCTTTTCTTCTGTCTCTTCATTAGTATTATTTTACCTTCTCAATTGTAACATTTTACATTTTCAACTTTCTTGTTCTCTACCCCCACCCGATTCAATTTCTACACCTCACCACCACTGTTACTGACTTGAACATTGCTCAGTTTCCAGTCATTTATGTTACGTCATCCAACTTATTTACTCAATTTCACTTCTCCTTAATCTCTACCTGTAATTACCTCTGTCGCTATCCTGACCTAAGTTGTAACATTTTAGTCAATTATATTACGTCATCTAGCTTACTAACTCAATCTTACTTTAGTTGCTGTCTGATTAACTTTGTCTCTATACTACATCATTCTTGTATTAACTAATCAATTATCTAAACTTGACAAACCTCATGTACACACACACAAATAATTATATATAAATGCAATTGTACAGCTATGTGAATGAATTCGCCGAAAAGAGTCTCTTCGCTGAATGTCTTCTCTTTTTCATAATAAGTAAATTGTTAAGCTTAAATTAATTTTGCACTGACTATGACCTATTTGTCGCAGGTATTACAGAGAAACTCGCACTATGTGATCAAAATTTTCAAATCGTCTTTTTTGTTTTCCGTTCGTCTATATTCTTTTCATTTCTTAATGTTGACAACCGACAGCTCAATTTCCACTAATGCTATTTAGCTTTTATTTTAATATTTCACTTTCAGATCACGCAAGCAAAAATTACTAACTGTTATTGTTGTAAAGCCATTAGTGAGAACGCCGAAATCCTCGATTTAAATGTTATGTTTCTGAAAGTTAAACGTGGTATTTTTTATGTGCAAAACAGAATAATCCCTTTTAGTTAGATGAACAACTCTGCGGATGCCATTAGCGAATGATATCGAATACATTGTCACTGGCACATGAATGCAGTACACCAGTCGATAAGTGACAACTAGTCGCAAGTCACAGTTGCCAGTTCAATCATGTTTCCAATTATTTTTCAAAACTAAAATTGTCAGTTAGGAAATGAAACTCATCACTTGATAACTGATCAGGAATACTTGTTGAGACTGTTAATTAATCTAGATATTTTATTTAGTTATTAACCAGAATGGAAAATGACTTCATCAATTATCCCTCTTACACATTTCTTTTACGAACTGACTGACAGAAAATGTTTTATCATCATTCAACTAACATTGTGGAAAACTATTTTCTTTAAAATTTATATTTTTAGGTATTCATTGTCAGGCAAAAGTTGGGACGAATCCTCTGGATGAAAGTTGCCTTGTAGCATGGGGCGCTTGTAATGTAGGTATTTCGATGTTGTTTATAATGTGTGCTTCATTTCAAGCCTAGGAATTATGTGTTGTTTAAGTCTGTGAAATGTATATGAAAGTTAAAATATTTATTGAACTTGAAGGAATTATTATTCTGACACTAATACTACCTACTGTCAAGAAAACTTTTGTTCAAAGTTGGCATTTGAGAAGAAATACAAGTAGGGATTTTATAACTCAGAAGAAGTGACAAGCAAATGACTTTTTTAACACTACAAAGCAATATACAGATACTTTCTATGAACTGAATTTGAAGTAAAAATATGACAGTGTGCTTTGAAGATTGATGAATTCATACTTACAGTCAAAGCGGAAAAAGTCAAAAACGTCCAAGCGGAATATCAAAGTCTAACCGTGTCACTTATTCATTTCATCACTTGTAATAAGAAAAATTATTAGTGATCAAATGTTTACTAGACATTAGATAAGACGTTAGACAGCAGAGTCAGTATGCCAAATGCTAGTGGTAGAAATTTCAGTGAAGCATGTTGACTGATGACATAAAAGTCGTTAGTTTTATGCACTTCTGTATGAGTTGAATAAAAATAAAATCTGATCCTCTTTTGACTGTCATTCCAAAGTTAGTTGCTGCAAAATTAAGAAAGAGACAGATGAATGAATAAATTTTCTGGATAAGTATCAGAAACTGATTATCAACTTAGGCGTCGGTGGCACAGTGATTAGGACTCTCGCCGACCATGCACATGGTCCGGGGTTCGATCCCCTGTCGACGCACACCCGATATCTGTGGTCGGCCTGCGAAATTTGGGCTACCGATTTCCATGCTGAAAATTCCATACTTGTACTGAAAATACGGTGTGGCATCAAGCTGTAAGCAAAAATAAATAAAAATAAATAAATTGCATATGAGACATTTACAATTAAAAGCGTTCTCTGAGCTGGTTGGTTTAGTCGCGAAGCTTTCGTCGTCCTTCCGGACAACATCTTCAGCGCCATATTTAGCACGAAGTGAAGTGATTTAAATTCCCTCATGCGTGATGTAATTGCGTCTCCTGGTTACTATCTTCACATATGTATTGACCACTTTCTATTGACTAGGATTTTAAACTTTTTGGTCACCTGATTTACTTTTTATTAATTGGTATACTTCATCTATATTAATGTGTTTGTTAATCGCATTTTCGCTTGAGTACCAGGCCTCTAGGAATTCTCTGGCACTTTTCGTGTTTCCTCTGTTTAAGATTTTGACATGATCCCAATCAAACTGATGACCATAGTTGTCTGCATGCATTGATACTAAAGAATTCATATCATGTCTTTTCACGGCTGATTTATGTTCTTGGATTCTAATTCGAAGGGGACCCATCAGACAACTATGGTCATCAGTTTGATTGGGATCATGTCAAAATCTTAAACAGAGGAAACACGAAAAGTGCCGGAGAATTCCTAGAGGCCTGGTACTCAAGCGAAAATGCGATTAACAAACACATTAATATAGATGAAGTATACCAATTAATAAAAAGTAAATCAGGTGACCAAAAAGTTTAAAATCCTAGTCAATAGAAAGTGGTCAATACATATGTGAAGATAGTAACCAGGAGACGCAATTACATCACGCATGAAGGAATTTAAATCACTTCACTTCGTGCTAAATATGGCGCTGAAGATGTTGTCCGGAAGGACGACGAAAGCTTCGCAACTAAACCAACCAGCTCAGAGAACGCTTTTAATTGTAAATCATCCACCTGAGCTACAAATCTTCTCTATTATGAGACATTTTTCAAAGAAAACAATCACTTCGAGAAGTCTCATTTATCATTAGGACGAAATCTGTTAGTGTGTTATTTCATTTACCTGATTTACTATGCAGTGCTAAATTATCATTAACTGAATGACTTTTTAAGTAAAACTCACGGTATACTGCCCACGTCTGACTCATATTTTTAAGTGTTGCATCTATCTACAAAAGACATCACCTATCTCATTGGATGGACAACTGACATGATCTTACTAGATATTTTGTTCATTAATCCGTCTCATCTACTACTTCATACAACATGTCCCCATAATCATATTAGTCAAAGGAAGAATAATGAAATTTCCAGTAAAAATATGCGCCTAACTGTCAAGTCAGTATAAATGGAAATAAACTGGCTATTTATAATAAGTTTGAAACAATATACGATAGTTTTAGTAAGCGGGTTACAAAATTATCTAGTAATATACAAGGAATCGAATCACCGAAGTTCCTCAGTGGTGCATTTTTACCTCTTAAATTAGTTAAAAGCTAACCATTGGGTTGAAATTTAGTCTCCAGATGTTTGCACTGGGGTCATTTCATTGATTTCCAGTTAGATTTTGTAACCGGGTGACATCAGTTAGAAGACCTGGTGTGAACTCTTAAGCAGCCATTGAGTGAGAATAGAGAAGATGGAATTCATGAGCTATTGTATACCACCTCAGTGGTTGAACAGTTATACGCTCGCCTCTATACTTGTACTCCCTAGATTATAGGTGCATACTGCAGAAGAGTCCCAGACTAAGAAGAACCAGCTCTATAAAGCTTCATGGCTTTCAACGGTTCTTAAAGTGATTTTGATCAATGATGGAATCTACCTTAAAATTTAATTGTTTATGTTCCTTAGTTAAAAAACATTGAGCGTAAAATTTATTAAATCCACTTCCAGATAGTCGAGGATCTTAATCTGATGGCTGAACTTGCTCATCACCAAACACTTTAGTAATAAAATTTGGTATTAACAGTACTTTGTTTGTTTCTGGGTGAGGTTTTGACTATTGAACCTCTTCATTTTATAACCAAATATATATTCGCTGTTTCTGTAACTGCCAATATTTTGTAATAAAGAATATTCTGAAATACTTGATTAGAATTTGATTCTGATGTGATGTAGCAATTAGTCTTTATTGTTTTTTAGCATGCATATCATTTGCACTGTATTAAGCGCTGGCTGGAAACAAGTCCTCATCCTCGCTGTCCGTTAGATAACAGAGAATGGGAATTCAGCCAGTAAGTAGATTTTATTTGAAATTTTATCGAATATCATCCGTAATAATAATTTATTTATTTTTGTTTAAAATCTTCCGAAGATACGGGTTTGGTGTACAAACTATCAAATCACAGTAATAAGAAAAAACATCTATCAGGTGATGCATAATTAAATAGGTAAACCTGATACAAACCAAACCAAAGAAATGTTGTGATCTCACTGAAATTTCAAGAAAGCAATATTTAGAATATGGCCTCAAGTAATTCTGAATCTTAAATGTTTGTCCCTCCTGTGTCAGCTATCTTTTACCCCTAATAGTCTACCGAGAATTTGTGTTCTGAATGGAAAAGAGAAGTTTCTGAACACAGAAAAAAGAAACAGAATTGTGGTGTTAACTGATTCCATTTTACTTCACGACTTCTCATTATCTATAACCATTCTAGAACAATTATTAGGTGATCACGGATTGATATCAGTTAGAGAACCATTGAAAACCAGGAAGTACTGGACAGCTAGGTGTTTCATCCTAGTTTTGGAATCATTGGCAGTACGCACCCACTGGGGTTCGAACCCAGGACCTACCGCTTATAAGGCAAGCTCATATACCATTCAGCCACTGGGACCCGATTCAATGGCCAATGCATGAATTCTAACTCTTACCAATTTGTGGTTCCCAAGCTAGGATGAAACAGCTGTCAGTACTCCATGGTTTTCAATGGTTCTCTAACTGATATCAATCCGTGATCAACTCGTAAAAACAAAACTAATCCTAACAAACCGAGTCAAGAAAATTATTAGGTGATTTGAAGATGACATACTTTGATTTTACTAAAAAAGAGTTGAAATTTAAAATGCTTTTATCTAAATGTGACGACGCCTTTGAGTGGACCATCCACTTCAGTTAAACTTCAGCCAAGGGGCTACTTGAATTTTACTAGCTTCGTTTCTGTGCGGCAGACAAGAGAATAGGTTAAACACTGCCTTACAAAGTAATAAAATGGCGCTTGCAAGAATAAAATGATCGAGACTTTATCTGAAAGTATTCTTAGAGCGTTGAGTCCATTATGAAGTCAGCGCTGAAAATAGTGTCTAGAAAGACAATGAAAGCTTCTCATTTAAACACTGGAAACATTAACTAAGTTACTAATTTCATCATTTTGAAATCCTACGAGCGAAATACCTCTTAGTCTGTCTAAAAGTATGGGGGCTTTGTCAGAACGAAGGTGTCGATTAGAGACTAATAATTCTTACTTCATTAGTGTTTCCGTTATCTGATTCTACTAACTAATATCATGTTTGGATCAACAACCAACTGGCCAATGAGAGAAGTTAGCTAGGTAAGACTGAAAACAAATCACCAGATTACTAAACACGGAAGTGAAAATATTTCTATCGGTATAAAACAAGGATACAACGAATTCTTAGCCGTAAGTACGTTTTAACATTGCACATCGTTGTTGCAATGTTAGGGGGACGAGACAAGAGACAAAGACGAAATTTTTCAGAACAAAAATTAACCACAATGGTAAAACAACCCACTAAAGAAACTCTGAATAGTTTAGTGATGTATTTACCAAGACGAAAACTGTCAAAAATTCAACAGTGATTACTTCGAAAAAGATTAAACTACAGACTGGTGCCGTCTGAAATACATGTATCTTCGATGCCCTAGACCCGTCACCTGAAGTTATCACGATTAAGTGGACAAACTCAACAAGAGATATACAAGATATTATACTTATGATCAAAAATAAGAATCCCCGTGTCAAACTGAAATATACCACCAGATAATGAAGGTAGAACTTTAGTATATGTGGTCAGGGGAGAAACCACCAGAAAGCTTTAGAATTACCCAGAATAAAATCAAGAATACCAATGGCTCACAACAAGTCCCGTCAAAACAGTACACAATAGAATTAAAGGATTCTAGAGCAGAGTCATCCAATCTAAACGAATAAACTTTAATCTGCCAACTTAACCTTGATTTTGCGGTAGGCCCGAAATTCACAAACAGGACATTCGTTTAATATCAGTCATCCTACTTTAAGGA